TGTTCAAGTCTGCTTTAAACCTCATTGGCAGGACTACATTGGGGAAATCTTGCTTTGCTTGTACTATGGATAGGGCTTCTGTTTCCAGGACTGTCAGTCTAGCCCTGTGCACTTGCAGGAGAGGAGAGGTGGCCCATGCAGAGATTTGCAAGTGATGCCATTAACCTCTGGATACTAGGAGTCTGGCTTTTGTTGTGAATCTTTGAGTAGTTAACACAAATTAGTCATTGACCTTATGAGAACTGGCAACTCAACCCTGAATGCACTGGTTTTCTCTTTCAGGAGGGTCCCCCTCATAAATGTGCCTTAATTTTCGCAGATAACAGTGGAATTGACATCATTTTAGGAGTCTTCCCCTTTGTCAGAGAGCTACTTTGTAGAGGTACAGAGGTAAGTTTTAGTTCTCTGGAATACGGATGCTTCATGGGGTCTTGATGATTGTCTGAGGTGTCCACTCCTAGTGGAAGACTTAACACTTTTCCCACTGATGTCTGCTGAAGCACTTCTGTGTACTAGGAATTCTAATGGGAGGAGTGTGGTCAGGTGATTAGTTAGAAGCCAGGAGTCCTAACTCTATCTCTGTTCTGACTTAGGAGATGGGTGGGGATTTTCTTGAGCTGTAAAATAGGTATAATACCTTCATGTCGCCTGCAGTAGGTTATTTTGGGGGTTTAATCTAAAAGTGCCATGACCTCTTTTGTTGATGTGCTAGAGAAGCTTAAGAAGTAACTAAGTGGTAATAAAATTCTGACAATCATGTTTTTAATACACTTAATGTTGAGTTTAGTCTGACACTATGTGTTTGACTACCCATAAGGTAGTTGTGGGTGAAGTGACAGGACCGTAAGAAATACTGACAGGTAAATTGAGTAAAAAATGGCTGTTAAATTTGAGGTCCTCATAACTTTTACCAAGACTTCCTCAATTTTTCTCTGATACTCTTAGCCTCACTTAAAAGGACTAACTTTATGAAATTGGCAACTCCAATCCACAATGTAATTGTAAAACCACAAAACTTAGCAGGGACATTTGAGGGCAGCCATAGAACATGAAACAATCTTGACCATCTTTTGAAATTAGGATTTCAACTAAACATTTTTCCACGCTCACCCTCTGACGGGGGGGTGGGAGGGAGAAAGCAAAGTCCAGTTCCAGGAACCACATTTCAAGAAATATCTGAGCAAATTGGACAAGCACCAGAGAATACAGTTGCTAGGTGTTCAATTTTGAACTATATAGTCCAGCATTTGAGCTTTCTGTTTAGGAAACAAACTGAGACAATATAAATGAGAAAATACAAATGTCCGGTATTTTCTAAATAGATGCATTGTAGATTGTGATTTAATGTCAAGTGTGTCCGGTATTTTTGTTGAAACCATCTGTCAACCCTACCAGAGAAGTGCAAAAAAAAAAAATCTAGAAAATATGACCAATGAGGGAAGATTGAAGGAATTGGGTCTGTTTAGTTTGGAAAAGAGAAGACTCAGAGAGGATATAATACCAGCTTTCAAGTACTTAAAAGGGTGTTACAAGGAAGAGGGAGGAAAAATTGTTCTAATGATAGGATAAGAAGCAAAGGACTTAAATTGCAGCAAGGGAAGATTAAGCTGGACATGAACAAAAAACTGCCTGTCAGGATGGTTAAGCACTGGAATGAATTGCCTAGGGAGATTGTGGAATCTCCATCACTGAAGATTTTTAAGAGCAGGTTAGACAGACACCTGTCAGGGATGATGTAGATGGTGCTTGGGCAAGGGACTGGACTTGCTGACCCGTCGAGGTCCCTTCCAGTTCTAAGATTCTATTTTAAGTAATGGGAGGAATCTTCTGCTCTCTTTGCTGCTGCAGGTTATACTGGCTTGTAACTCTGGCCCTGCACTAAACGATGTTACCTACAGTGAATCCTTAATTGTTGCTGAATGGATAGCAGCAATGGATCCCATTATACAGTAAGTCATCTTAGCCTTTTTCCTTCATGCTATTATAAAAAGGAAATCTAGTCACTTTTATAAATGACTAAAACTAGATTCTGCGGTTTGACCTATCCCCTCCCTAGTCATTTTCTTAAAAGGAAATAAGATAGTGCTAAAAATGTTCAGTACATGATGTACGCAAGTTCTGAAACTTCTGAAATGTCGATGAAAAGGGAAAACCCCCTGTAATGGCTGTAGCTCCTACTCAACCCCATTTGGCTACAGTATGAAAACCAAGACCTGAAATAAAGGGGAAACACTGAAATGAAACAAAGAAAACAGTGGAAATTCAAAACTGCCTATTCTGCAACAATCTAGAATTCCAAAACATTCAGCTTTCATAATATAAAGTGATAACACCAAAGAAATACTTTTAACTGTTCTTGGGGATCCCTTAAATGATGCCATGCAAATCCTTACAGATGTTAGCTGTTTTGAATGATGGAACAAGAGAAATGCATATTAATGCAGTGTAGGGATGTTAGTGGCTAGTCGGCTAACCGTTTACCTGATGAACAAATGCTTATCGGTTAACAATCTTGATTAACCACAACACTCTCCCTGGCCCACATGCTCTGAGTTTTTTAAATGAATAGCATGTGGGAGAGCTGTCTGCCAGCCCACTCTGTTTCCTCTGGTACAGAGGCAGCAGTGCAGGGCAGCAGCAGCTCCTGCCCACAGGGCGCCCTGCAGACGGGGCTGCTTCTGCGGCGTGGCAGAGGGGCTCCCTGGGAGAGGGCTGGGAGCACTCTGGCTGCCAGTATTGCCCCTGGATAGGGAGCATTTCGTTAATCGTGTAACAACTAAGAATTGTGACTACACAGTTAGTAAAATAAACCATTTCTAACATCCCTAGTGCCATGTACAAAGCGTCCCTTCAAAGGTGCATGAGTGAATTTTTTTACCCATTGTCAAAGCTACTGGTTCATTCATAGCCTTTTAATATGTTGAAGGTGAAATTCTGGAAAAGGATGACGGGACACTCTATCTGCTCAGCCTGAATGTGTATGTAAGATTGAGAAACAAGAATAAGCAGCAACAGGCACAGAGCACCTTGGTGAGAGAGGATGTTGCAACCATGCAGCTAGATATTCACCCCAAGTGCCTAAGTTGCCCTATCTGTCTCCATGGAGTTAGAGCTTGGCTCTGGCGTGCAGGATTAAATCTTGCATTGTTTTACACTAATGTCATTTGGCTGCATTGTGTGTCTCATTTCCACCAGGGTCCTAGCCGTCAGGACTTCCTTGTTTAGAAGGTAGTGTAAGAAATCATGAGGGGGTTTGTCTGTTTTTTTTTCAAAGGTCTGCATTGACGGAAGAGAGGCTACTGTTGGTACAAACAGGCTCGAGTTCACCGTGTTTAGATTTGAGGTGAGTTTACAAGTGGATGAAATGTGTATTGTAAATTCTCTGCCTTTGTCATGCAGTGCGGTAGATTTTGCACTTCAGTATAATAATCACCCAGTCGCTCTTTCAATAGAAAGCATTTCTCTAAAATCCGGAAACTTGCAGACAAGCGTGCATGATGATAACCAGTCCCTGCTGTCTGTCTGATGTCTTAATGCTCTCCTGCTGCAGCAAACACATCTACTTTCACCCTCTCCAGTGGATTAAACATTAAAAGCTTTGGCTCCGATGATTGAGCCACTCTGAATTTTTAAAATAAAAATACATCAAATGAGGGAGCTATTTCAGGAAATGAAAAATAGTTCTTAAGAGTAATAGGCCTAACCCTGGCGTCACAGTAGGCAGTTCTGCCTGAATTGTCTCTGTCTTAATGTAGTTGCTTTCTCAGGGGCATGTGCCTTATGTACGGGATTTGCTAGCAAGCACAGTCAACCATATGTATGGCAGAGAACAAACTCGAGTCCTTGCTCCTGGACAGAGAAAAGGCGACTTAGCCCCAAGATTCAGTCTCTTTTCAGATTCCTATTGCCAAGTGCCAATGTAGAACAATGAGTCCCAACCTTTTTTATACCACAGACCGGCAAACCCATTCACAAACTTTTGGTGGACCAGTAACATTGCATTTTACATGTTTGCATATTCATTATGCAAATAACGGATATGCAAATGAAGCATTACCGGTCCGTCAAAAGTTTGTGAATGGGTTTGCTGGTCTGAAGTATAAAAAGCCCTGGCCCCCAGAGTGCCCCAGAGCCAACCCAAACCCCTAGAGCCCTCTGCCCCTCCACTACTCCCCAGCACCAGCTACTGACCCCAGAGCCTCGCTGCACCCAACTCCCCTGTGCCAGCCCCGTCCCCAGTGCCAGCCTTGCTCCCCGTAGTCCCCTCACTACTTGCCACGTCCAGAGCTTCTCTGACAGCTCCCCATCCCGGACTCCCTAGTGTGAGATTCCCCGCCCCCCACCTCTTGGAGCTCCCCAGTGCTAGTCCCACCCAGGAGCCCCCACCCCCACTAACTCTGTGCTGCCTCCGAGCTGCCAGCTGAGCGCTGCTGCCGAGGTCGCAGCTGCTCTAAAGCTGCCATGCCAGGCTCCGCATGGCCCTCCCATCGCGCAGTGAACTGTTCTTCTGCCCCTGCCCGGTGCTGGTTGGCTGAGAGGCAGGGCAGGACATGCCACGGTTGGAGAGGAGGTGCTCGGGGGTATATCCCAGCCCCAGCACCACTGTGTACTGGCAGTTGGAACTGCTGATACAGAAAGATCCTTTTCAGCAGCCCATTGAGAAACTGAAAGCCACTAGTGGTTGGTTTCTTTCTAACATCCTGCCCCCATCTGTACTTGGCACAATCAGACGTCTGGCAACTTGTCACTTGGGAGCTAGGTGTAATGCTGGATTTCCTATCCCTCCTTGGCACCCCTTATTCTCTCTGACGTGGTTATCTGCAGCCCTTTGCTGCTGTCTGCCTGTCTCTTGAGAAGGCAGCTAGAGCTCTGTAGGCCTGATGTGAGAGCGCAGCAGCGGGGAGAGTTCAGTTAGCACGTCTCACAGGCCCTGCACTATAAGTTGGTAGCTCTTGGCTTCTCTCAGCTGATCTTTCCAAACGTGATTTCCCTTTTACTAGTTAGTGGACTGATTGGTTTTAAAAGAGGTTCATCCTCTTGGAATCACCAGAGTCCTAACCTGCCCTGAGGGAAGGAGAGAACTGGCTGTAGGAGCTCTTAGCAGTACCACCTCTATGGCCGTGTAGACATACCTGCACTAGCTCCAATGGCGCTAGCTCAGATACTGGAGCAGTAAATCCACAGTAGTACAGGCTAGCCACCTGAATACTTCCTGGGGTTTGGGAATGCAGCTGTAGCCTTTGCTGACACCAGGACACAGCTAGCTAGAGTATGTTGAACAATGGCAGTGTCGAAATACTAAATCTGCCTGCCCTGCAGGGTAAATTCTCTGGAGCTCCTGAAAGTGCTCCCTGCCAGCCAAATGGACTTTAGAGCCGTGGTCTGTCAGGTACATCCAAGGGTGTGTCTGTACTACGCTAGCATAGCACCTTTGCTGTACGGTAGGTGCTTCATGAACCAATGGTAGGGGATTTTCCACAAAGGTAATCCACCTCGGACAGCTGGAGGCTAGGTCAGTAGAATTCCTCCAGCTGCATCTTCAGTGGAGGTTATGGCTACTGAACTACGTCATGCAGCGTGACATTTTTCATAGCTCTGAACAATGTAAGGTCGCCTTGAGATTTTGGGTAGGCAGACCATACTACATAACTGAACAGTGACATTGTTTGAAGTCATGTATCTGCATCTCATTACAGCCGGCTGGACAAAGGCCTGGCCCTGCTGGTCAGGGAGCGGAAGACCGACTTGGTTATAATCGAAGGGATGGGCCGCGCTATCCATACAAACTACTATGCAGCTCTGAAGTGCGAGAGCCTCAAACTCGCAGTCATCAAAAACTCCTGGCTGGCTGATCGGCTAGGTGGGAAAATCTTCAGTGTCATCTTTAAATATGAAGTGCCATGCAAGTGACTGGGTGTGAGGGGCTGACGAGTGGCAGCAGCAATGGACTTGCACTAGTGTTACTTTAATTGTAAAGAATGTATTTTTATTACTACAGGGAAAATGAGTTCACATGAAATTCCATATTTATATTGTGCTTTGTGACTGAAAGCAACAATATTATTCATTATATAAAATGATACACCCAAAATATATATGTATATCACTCACTGTTTATTTTGGTAAGTGTTTATTTTAATGCTGCAGTATTTGTGATGGAAAGACTTTATTTTTTTGTTCTGTGAGACATTCATATAGAAATATATTTAAATGTCAATGAAATCTTTTTATATCTCTGCTTACTATGCCAGCCGTGACTTGGCACATACCAAATAGAGTTTTTAAAATGCTGAAAGCGTTTGACTTTGCATTTGAATACTTTAGTTGATGAAACACTTTAGATCTTTTTAAAATTCTCTGTAGTTAAGCTAGGAAGAGACTTACTCCCTTGCAAGCTGAGCAGTGTTATTTCTGACACAGGAGCCTAGAATAGTTAGTAACTGATCTGAGCATCAATGAGAGTAGCAGATGGGAGAGTTTATTGCTGCTGAGATTTCTCCCAACTGCTACACAGTGAAGTTAAATTCCTGAAGCTTACCTACTTCCACTCTTGGCTCTTAAAACATTTTGACGGGATCCAGAAAACTACAAGGAAAACCAGTCTCTTTAGCTAATTTGTCTCTTCAGCCTGAACCAAAGCAAGATTAAATTCCTCACTCCTACAGCTACTTCAGTTACATCAGGAATTTATTTGGAACAAGGCCATCAAGAGTTGCTATGTAATCTCTCCTTCCATTTGATGTTCCTGAATCTTTAAGGCCAAATCAGCTAATAAACGTTTATCTTTGTCTGTTCTGCTTGTAAAACCCTCCCCAGCTCTCAGGTGTTGACTAAACATACACACATCCATGCTTGACTCTTGGCCTTTTGTTGATCAGCTCAAACTACTGGGCCTACATGCTTTGCAACAAACAAATGACTTCAGGCTGTGCTCGTATTCATTTCAGCACTGCTCTGGTTTCCCTTAAACGGGAGGGTTATGGCCAGACATTCAGCATCAAATAGCTAGTCAGAGTGAATGGCAATGACTCCTACCTGGCTGTTGTCCCAGGACACCTGGGAGAAGATGCCTGGTTTTCCTCTGCTTCTGATGTTCTAAGTTGTGTAGTGATGTCGGCCTGCTAGCTGGTGACATCTCCATTAGCTTGCAAGGAAGGATACTCCACTGATTTTCACTGTACATGTAGCAGCAGTATCAGACGGCACCTCAACTTCAACTCCCTGTGAGTCTCTCTCTAGGGAACGTACTTACCCACCCCTGAGCAGCTCAAAAAAAGTCATCCACCGCTGCAGGAGTGGGGAAGCACCTCTTCATTTACTGCTGGCCTGCTGAGCTAGAAATGCCCAGTACCTAGGCCCCAAGCTGTTCTGCTGTTACGAGGTATGTGAATGTGGCATACAGAAGGGAAAAGTACAACCCTGCTACTACTTCTTAACGGGACCCAGCGTCCACTTGTCACTAACTGAAGTTACTTTTAACCGAGTGCCATACTTTGCAGTGGTGACAGACTTTCATAGCTTTGTTTTAAATAGCATTTGCTCTATCGTTCTGAGCCTTGTGTTAAAGTACCAGTGTGATCCTTACAGAGGAAGGATAGTCTTGGGCCAGAAGTCTGCTCTTCCCCCGAAGCACCGTGTAGTTGCACAGTAAAATCCAGGAAGCTGGAAGGGGAACAGGAACCACTCAACATGCTCGTTCTTCCTTCACCACCCAGCCAAAGGGTAGACGAAGGTCTCTTACCTTTCTGGGGGTAGATGGAGATCACCCCTTCCTTTATCTTCCTTTGAAAGGTTTATATCAATCCTTTATATCAATCAAAACAAACCAGATGCACAGTGACATTGAGAGTTTAATTTGAAAATTCCTACTGTCTAATCTCTGGAATCAGGCATACCCTTATGTAACTTCAACCAAGTGATCAGCTTGTATCACTAACATTTTTAGCAACCCCTTATGCTTTGAAGGCACTGTTGCCAAGTGCAAAGATACTCTACAGGTGTTCATGCTACCACAAGGCAATGCAGGCATGTTTCTCAAGCAATCAGTTGTCACAGAATTCTGTATGTTAATGAAACTCTGCCTCTTTACCCTTTCCCAATATGGCCAAGCAAAACTAGCAGCAGATACAGGAGGAAAATGCAACTGGAATTTAACTTGCTCAGCCACCAATCCCTGATCTGATGTGCTGAAAGGCAACACCCAGAGCCCAAGGCCATGTCTTCACTCAGCAGAAGATCAACGGCTGCTGTGATTGATCTCCCGGAGTTTGGTTTAGCGAGTCTAGTTAAGACCCACTAAATTGAACTTAGGGCACCCACAGTGGTGACTGGTACTCCTGCCTCTGCGAGGTGTAAGGGAAACCAACAGGAGCATTTGCTTTCATTGGCCTCCCACTGTGGGGATGGTGGGGAAACTCAAGTTATGTCAACTCTAGCTTTGTAATTAACGTAGCTGGAGTTGAGTATCTTGATTTGACCTTCCTCTTTAGTGTAGACTTGGCCCAAGTGAAGGCAACAGCCACCTTCTGCTTTAGTACCCAGTAGTTGAACTGTGATCCTTTAAAATGGCCCTGCTGACTTAAGAGCCAGAGTATTTTAGCTGATTTATGGTATTTTAGCTTTAGTTCAAATTTAGCATAACCCCTTAACATTCCATGGAAGGCAGTCTCTCCACAGGTGGCGGATGTTAAGTGAGTAATTATATTGGAAAACCCCCTAAAAAAGGCTGATGCCACATGTTTGCACTGGGAAAAACTCACCTTTGGTGGTAGGCAAGCAAATGATCTTTGACCCAGAGTGGAAGTTCTGCGTGAATTGCAACCCTTATGCCTTTCTATCTGCTCCCAGTTGGCAGACTTGTTTAAATCTTATTTGGAGTAAGTTATATTGATAAACATTAGCAGGTGCCAAGCAGCTGCATTAACTTAAAGGCTAACTCTACCCGTTTATTTTTAAGAAAGCCGTTCCCATGCACTGGATCCAAAGAAGGGTCTTTGTCCAGCAACGCTATTGTTTGACTCAGGTTGCATTTTCAGCCTTCAAAACCCTGTACAGCTGTGATCTCTGTCACACTGAAAACTGACAGGCGGCAACATGGAAAATGTGGCTCATTCTAGTCGTCCTGCACTTGGTCCTGGCATATTCCCACTGGTCCCCTTCAAGCGCAGCCCCAGGTGACATTCAGTTTTGAGCATTTAACCAAACAATTGCCAGTGATGGAAGATGCCGAGTTTGCCAGCTACAAGTCTCGGCTTAGTCACAGAACAGGATCAGCAGGGGGTGGGGAGCACAGGGCACAGACACCGCAGCTGCTCTTGCTTATCTATCTCAACTCGGAGCCAAAGGAGCCACTTCCTCAGGTCCGGTTACACCGCAGCCAAGGGTGGGTCTGGCCTGTGGAGCTGGTACTCGAGCTAGCTCGCTACACTTCCGCCGTAAGGAGGCTGCTACTTCCCGCAGAGGCGACACAAGCAGGCCTGTAAGCTGGTGTTATGTTTTCTATTGAGGGTGGGTGAGCTAGTGTGGGCACAGCTATCGAAGATGCTCTTTGCATCCCCAGCTGCACTGTCACCAGCTGCTTTGAGTAAGGCTGTGCTTGCGGGCACACTGCCTAGCTAAGAGTACAAAGCCTAGGTGCTTCAATCCAGACCCAGAACATGGGGGAGGGCTGTCCAGCCCCGGCTACTGTGGCTTCACTGCTGTTGTGAGGTCACATCTCCAAGCCCTGTGTAGACAGACTCTCTAGGAAAGACGAGCCCCTTCCCTCCATCTGCTCAGGCCTCCACCTGTGAGCTGTGACCGAGGTCAGCCGCCCAGTACCCGTCAGATGCTGCCGTCGTTCATCAGTGCTAGGTTGGATTTAGTGCTCTAGAGCAGCCAGGATCTGGAGTCAGGCCTCAGAGCTATTTAGGTCCCCGTGTGCTGTTCAATTGTTCTAGAGATTGACCTTTCCTAGTGATAAGGAAGCTACCCTCTAGGCTTACAGAGATATAGGCCAATGCAGAAAACGCAGTCAGAGAAACAGCCACTATTGACTACACACAGTAGGCAAGAAATTGATTAACATTGAGAGACTGCTCCCAAAAGCGCTTCCTATGGTTTAACTTTTTCTGGATTCTCTCTTGCACCTTCCTTCAGTCTGAACCGGTGACTCATCTCCTCGAGCAGAGCAGAGCAGCAAGACTTCTGAAAGACAGGAAGGGGGCGGGGGAGGAGAAGGCCGGCTGAATGTACACGGCACCTTGGTGGTACCAAGGAATCTGCTGGGCACAGACCTGTGATCCAGGCAATGCAAGAGCTGGTTCGTCTCTGCAGTGGTTCCCTTGCTTGTCAGAGCATTTGTGGGGAACAACTGGTACGTTAGAACAAATGTACCATTGCCAAGGAAACAGGCCAGAAGAAGCAAAGCAAGTGGGTGTACCACTTGCACTAGTTGTACTGCAGCATGACTTAAGCAATTCAGTTGACGTTACCACTGACATACCCTGGCGTCCTCTGTCTATCCACGTTCAATACGTTAAAAGGCTCATGGACATTACTGATACTATAGTCAAACAAAAAAAAAATCTAACCTTTTTTTTTCACCCTTTTCTCCCAGTTGATTCGCTACCCCTCAATCCTATCCTCATGAATCACAGGCTGTGGAAATGTTACAATCATCGTTCCCCGTGAGGACTAAACAGCTCATTCCATAATGGAGAGCTAACTGCAAAGATCCCTGGGAATAAGGCAAGGCTGTTTCTGAAGGGAGAACTACCTGGCAGCTAGAGAGATACTGTCCAGCTGAGACAGCTGCATCCTCGGTGGCTTTAAGAGAGCGAGCGAGCTAAAGATGGCATGGCCATGGTGCAAGCCTCTATGAGCTCCTAGGTCTAGACTCAGCCCCTAGCTAAGCAGGAATTTACATCTCCGCTTGCAGTGCAGACATACACTGCATCAAAGGTTTTCCACCAGCTAGGGGGCTCAATGTTCCTGCTAATCTTTTTCATCCAGGTGCAGATTTTTTCCCATCCATGGGCAGAATAATTTTTTTCTGTGCACTGAGGCATGTGTGAATGTGCACCATCCGCAGAAACAAAAACCTAGCGGTGGGCGTGCTGCTAATCCATTGGGCAGCATTAGAATGTCTCCTGAGCAGCCGCCCAAGCGTCCAGCCTATAGGGAACACGGGTGGGGGTCCCAGACCCCTCACTGACTCACTAGTTACATCAGAAGAGGGGCGGCTGTGCTGGGCGGCGCTAGGCCCTTCGCAGGAGAGCCAGGCAGCGCCCAGGGAAGCACGCGTGTCAGTGCCACTTACCTTCTCCTGCTCAGCAGTGTGTCTGCTCTTGTTCGACAGCTCCACCAAAGCCACAATCACTCCCAGTGCGAGGCCGACCGCGAGAACCAAGAAGAGGCCACCTATGGCCTGGGGTTTCAGAGGACTCCACGGGTCCGGGCCCTTCCGAAAACAGGTGGTCTCCCACCACTTATTGCGTAGGTAGTCCAGGTCACCCGATTCACCCAGTTTCAGGACCGCAACGGAGAGTGTATTGGCCCACGCTGAGCCTGGAGGGTAGCCGAGAGACATGAACTGGAGCATTATACAACACACACACACGCACAGCTCAATGGTAGCGGCGGAGGGCCCACCCATAAATACACAATGGCAGTGTCTAGACTGGCATGATTTTCCGGAAATGCATTTAACTGAAAAGTTTTCCGTTAAAAGCATTTTCAGAAAAGAGCGTCTAGATTGGCACGGATTCTTTTCCACAAAAGCACTGACTTCCTACTGTAAGAAATCGGTGCTTCTTGCGGAAATACTATGCTGCTCCTGTTCAGGCAAAAGTCATTTTGAGCAAAACTTTTGCGCAAAAGTTTTGCTCAAAATGACTTTTGCCTGAACAGGAGCAGCATAGTATTTCCGCAAGAAGCACCGATTTCTTACAGTAGGAAGTCAGTGCTTTTGTGGAAATTCAAGAGGCCAGTGTAGACAGCTGGCAAGTTTTTCCAGAAAAACTGGCCAGTTTAGACACAGCCAATATGCGGGCGGTTGGCTGCTATGCACCCCCCTGAGGTCTGGCTGCAGCCCAAAGGCACCGTGAGGGTACATCTAGACTGGCTTTCACTTTCGAAAGACGATATGCCATTTGCATCACTTCTTCTGATTGCTTTTTCGAAAGTGTTTTATTTTTTTCGAAAAAGCAAGCAGTTTAGATGCGGATCTTTTGGAGAAAAAAAAACTTTTTTTGAAAGAACCTGTAAACCTCAATTTTTGAGGAAAAAGGTTCTTTTCAAAAAAGGTTTTTTTTTTTCAAAAGAACCGCGTCTAAACTGCTTTCACTTTTGAAAAAAAACATTTTTGAAAAAGCGATCAGACAAAGATATGCGCATTAGCGCTGAATTTGCATATCTTCTTTCGAAAATGAAAGCACATCTAGCTGTACCCTGAGTGTGGAATTTCTGAAGCGCTGGGCGAGGAAAATGGGGTAGGCATGAAAGATAACGGTACATTTTTGCCTCGTTAAACCAGTCGTCTCACAAAACAGCGTAGCTTAAGGATGGGTGCTGCTGAACAGCTATGCTAGCCTCATGCCAGTTTGCATAAAAATAATGGAAAAGAGCCAAGAAAGGGCAATGGAAAAAGGATGAGCAACCAGCCCTTGAAGAGAAGGGAACACTCATCAAAGACTTCCCATGAGGCGGTAGCGACCTTTTAATTTTCCTTTTTTAGGGCTCCAAATTATGTTGTCTGCGCTTCTGACGTTGGGGCTACAGAAAAAAAAATCACCCAATTGCTGATTGTCAGAGGATGTGTTAGCCTCTAAAGCGTGGGGCGGGGAACCTTTTTTGGGTTGGGGGCTGCTGTCCCACAGAAAAACCAGTTGGGGGGGGCCACCCAAAAGTGAGAAGCAAAAAAAAAAGTCGCTGACATGGCCCCCAACTGAGAGGCAGAAAGACACTCCACATTCCCCATGCACATCAGAGCTGGGGGGGCCCAGGCTAGTAGATTTTTGGGGAGCCCCCAGGCTCTGAGGTGGGGTAAAAAATTGGGGGATCTGGCCCTGGGCTGGCCAGGCCATGTGTTTTCCACCCCTTACTGAAGAGTCTGTACCAGAGAGCAACGCGTTGTGAGGCCAGAGTCAACAGTAGGGTTAATATGTTGGATTTCGACGCTGTTCCAGATCACAGAGCTGCCCTAGAGTCGTAAGGTACCAGACAGGCTGGTTGCACTTTTCAGACCTGGCCCATTGGCATTGTCCTACGTGCCTTGGCAGAAGGGCCCTGAGGCGGCTCTGGAAACGCGGGGTCCTTAGCGCTGTGGCACGGCTGCAAGGAAAGGGAGGGGTGGAAACGAAGCGGCCGACGCTGTCTTACCCTTAGCGGTGGCGATGCCAAATCCCCTGGCTCCAACGACCTCGGGGGCCCTGATCAAATTGCAGTGCTGGGCCGCGGCCAGGTCCTGGGAGATGGATTCCCCGATGAAGGCGTAGTTCGACTCCAGCACCCGCTGAACTGCCTCGTGGTAGTTTTTCACCAAAACGTAGTCTCTCCTCTTGTCCATGTACTCGTAGATCATCCGGTGGGTGGGATTCCGGGAGTTCTGCAGCCCACAAGTCACGTGTCAGCCCTCCCAGCGAGCCAGGGCCCTG